CCCCCCCCCCCCCCCAAGCCACCCACCCACCACCACCCACCACCACCACCACCAACACCATCTCACCCCCCCCCCCTCCTCCTCCTCCTCCTTGTAGAGAAAGCGAGAGTCCGAAGACACCGGCGCTGCGAGTGCTGGTCCAGAGAAAAAGGCCAAGCCTGTGACGCCCGCCAAGTCGCCGTCCAAGACCGCCTCCTCTGCCACCGCCACTACCATCGCCGCTACGACCGCATCCACAGCATCCACGGCAAGCGCGGCAAGCACGGGTCCCTCTGTCGTAGGCCCGCCAGCTGCATCGGTCATCGCAACTGTCCAAGACTCGGCGAGCAAGGGCAATAGCAAGGGCAATAGCAAGAGCTCGGCGAGCAAGAAGAGCAAGAGCTCAGCAAGCAAGAAGAAGAAGCGGGCTGTGACGCCGCCAGTGGTGCTGGAGGACATCTCGCCGTCGCAGCTGCATGAGCTTGGAGTCAGCGGGGTGTACGAGGCGGAGAAGGGTCTGGATCGGACTAAGCTGGCCGAGCTTGCGGCCCGGGCGCCAAACTTGTACCACGCACCGCCGCGGAGCATGGGTCCGATCAACGCCAAAGCGCCGCTGACGGTTCAGGCTGGGGCGACTTCGATGGGTGCTGTGTACGCCATCGATGTCTCGCCGTCGGGCGCGCTGCTAGCGGCGACGTCGGTCCTCGGCTCGGTCTCGTTGTGGGACATGGAAGATCTGACGCAGCTGCGGGTGCTCCGCGACGAGTCCGAGACGCAGATCGACGAGTTCTGGGTTGCTCGCTTCACGCCGGACGGCCGCAAGGTCATTGTTGCCGGCAAGCTCAAGAACCGCGCGCTCTGGTCCGAGGCCGACAATGACAACGCCGTCCTGCCGTGCCCCATCAAGATCTTTGACGTCCTCACCGGCGAGCTTGTGGCTCGCCTCGAAGGCCACACCGAAGAAGTGGTGGCGCTGAAGGTGGCCACCTTTTGCGGCTCCAACTACATTGTCTCGTGCTCGCAGGACGGGTCAACTCGCCGGTGGCGCATGTCGCCCGACTGGACGATCCTCATCGAGGCCGCCAAGTTCTGCGACAACGTCACGTGCATGTCGTTTACGGCCTCGTTTGTGCCGCACACTGGCAACGCCATTCTCGCCGTCGCTGCTGACGACGGCATTGTCTTTTTCGACTTTGGTTCGCTCGCCCTCATCCAGCGCGTCACGGGCCTGTTTGGCTCGTACTGCGACTGCATCAAGTTTGTGGACTCGCCCAAGCTGCCAGCCACCCACCCGCGCAAGACCGCCCACCTCATTGCTCGCGGCTGCGAGATGCTCGACGCCGAGGAGTGCACTGTTGCCTCCAAGGCCTCCAAGGTCGTCCTCTACCGCGTTAGCTTCGTCTTGCCGCCGGCCCCGGCCCCGGCCACCAACTTTGAGCTCATCTCGGTCAAGGAGTACGCCCATCCCGAGTACAACGCAAACTCGTACCTCATGCGCGCCACCGCCGACGCCAACTACGTTTATGCACCGTCGGTCAATGGCGAGGTCTTTATCTGGGGCATCAAGTCGGCTAAGCTCGTTGCCGTCCTCCGCGACCACGAGGAGCGCGAGGTCCGCGACATTGTCGTCCACCCGCACGCTCCGCTCCTCCTCACTTCGGGCGACGACGGCAAAATCTACGTCTACCGCCCTGCCAATCCCGACGAGGTAGCCTCCATCATCCGTGCCTCGCGCTCCAAGGCCCGCAAAGGCTCCAAGACATCGCGCTCCAAGACCTCCCGCGCCAAGACCTCGCGCGCCAAAAAGGTGTCGGCCACGTCGGCCGCTTCGGCCGCGTCGGCGGCATCATCATCATCATCGTCGTCTGCCGCCGCCAAATCCGCCGCCGCCCCCCACCCGCCGCCCACCACTCCGATGGACATCGCTGCCCCTCCCGCCGATTCCTAGCGCCGCTCCCCTCCCCCCCCCTCTCCGCCACACACACCCCATCATACATCCGCCCATCCGCCCCCCACCCCACCCCACCCCAATGAGTCGTCGGACAGCCAACCATCCCTGCCGTGCCCGGCCGGTGGAGGCCCACTCAACTCACCATGTTTCGACACGCTATGCTCGGACGAGGCCTTCGGGCCATGAACCATGTTCGGAGAGCAAGCACACGTGCGCAGTCAAGAGGAGCTAGCGGGAGAGGCAATGCGCCTGGTTGGGTGGCTTGGGTAGCTGGTCTCACTGGCGCTACCGTGACGGCAGGAGCTATCGAGGTCTTTGGCTCGGCTGCACATATGACCGACGAGGAGAACAAGGAAGGAGATGCCCGATGGAAGGAGTACACGCTGGAAGAGGTGGCGGATCATGATGGAAGTGGCAAGGAGAATGGTGGTCGGATCTGGGTCACATACGGCACGCGAGTCTTTGACATCACCGACTTTGTCCCGGCTCATCCCGGTGGAGAGGTCATTCTCAAGGCCGCCGGTGGCGCAATCGATCCCTTCTGGGCGCTCTACGAGCAGCACAAGACCGAAGCGGTGCTGGACATTCTGAACTCACTGCAGATCGGCGTGCTTACTGCCGACGATGCCGCGGCGGTTGAAGCCAAGGCCGCCAAAACCGCCGCAACGACAGACTCGCCTTACGCCAACGAGCCGGATCGGTCGCCGCTGCTGGTTGTCCGCAAGGAGCAGCCCTTCAACGCCGAGACTCCTTTGGACCTTGTTGCCGGCCACTTTCTTACTCCGGCCATGCTCTGGTACTGCCGGTCGCACCATCCGATTCCGGACCTCCCGCCGCCCGACTACACGCTCACTGTGGTGGTGCCTGGCGCTACCGAGGCCGATGCTGAGCGCGAGGTTGTGTTTACCCTCGACGAGCTCAAGGCGCTGGCGGCGCGCAAGGCCGTGGTCACAGTGGCGTGCGCTGGAAACCGGCGCGGTGGGCTCGGCGAGGGCACGCAGGGCCTCGCGTGGGACATTGGTGCCATTTCGACCGGCGAGTTTGCCGGTGCGGCGCTACCTGCCCTTCTCCGCGAGGCCGGGCTGGATCTCGACGAGGTTGCGGCCTTTGACGGCAAGTACCATCTGCAGGTGTTCGGGCACGACGCGCCGTACGATGCGTCGCTTCCGCTCCATCGGGTCCTTGCTCCGCTCAACGACGTCATGCTCGCCTACGAGCTCAATGGCGAGCCGCTGCCGCGTGACCACGGCGCGCCTGTGCGGTTTGTGGCGCCTGGAGTGTGTGGCGCCCGGCAGGTCAAGTGGGTCACCCGCATCCGCGTCGCTCGCGAGCCGGCGTACTCGTCGTGGCAGCGCGGCGTGGCGTACCGCGGCTACGGGCCGCTCGTCTCGTCGTTTGACGGCCTCGACGTCGACTCTGCGCTCCCGGTCTACGAGCTCCCGGTCACATCGGCCATCACCAAGGCCGAGCACTCGCCCGACGACCAGACTGTCAGCCTGCAGGGCTTTGCCTACTCGGGCGGCGGCCGCGGCATCGTCCGGGTCGAGGTCTCGGTCGACAATGGCGAGAGCTGGCAGCTTGCGCAGCTCACCCACGGCGCCGACCAGCACCCCGACCGCGCCTGGGCATGGACGCTGTGGGAAGCCGAGCTCGAGGTTTCGCCCGACAACACTGCGCCCGTCGCCGTTGTTCGCGCCGTAGACGCTGCCTACAACTCGCAGCCCAAGGATGCCCAGGACGTGTTCAACCTCCGCGGCATCCTCAACAACTCGTGGCATCGCCTCGTTTTGTAGTCTTGTTACTTACAGCTGGACCAATGACGTAAATGCGTCCACCACAGCTACGTCGTCGCCGTCGACCTCGACGTCGTCCAGCGCGAGCGAGGCGAGCTCGTCGTCGCCCACCGCCTGCAGCGCGTGCACCACGACGGGCGGATTCGGCTCTCGTCGCGGACAACCAGGCGCTCCAGCATCGCGCGCCCGCCGCTCAGCGCCACACGCTTTCGTGCTCCCGCTTTCAAAGGCTGCACGCTCGGCAGCTCAGCAGGCACGGCGTCGAACAAGTCCGGGCGGACAGACGGCAGAAGCACCGCGATGGCGGCCGGTCCCTTGGTAGGGCAGATGCTAGTCATCACCGAGGCGAGGCCGCCGACTCGCGAAACTACTGCTCTGCTGCGGACCGAGACGCCTGCGAGGTGCAGGCCACGCCAGCTTGCCGCATTGCCAGCTTCGATGGTGTCGAGCCCGAGCTCGAGTGCGAGCGACTGCGGGAGGCCGACAGCCGCCAGCGCGCCAGTCGCGGGCTCGACAATCAAGCCAAGACCAAAGCTCCGGTACGCTTGGACCAGCCGGAGCTCGCCGAGACGGAACGGATGTTCGCCTGGTGGGTACCACCGGCAGACAACGCCGGCCACGGTGACGTTCTTGGAAAAGGCACCGAGCGCCCCAAACGCGACGGTGCCGGACGGATGTGCGGCATGCGCCGCGCCGCTTGACGACAGCGCCGCCTGAGACAACGACGGCCCGCCGCCCAGCAGTGGGTGGCGAGGCGCGCAGGGATCTGCAGCAAGTGGTGCCAGCGCGGGCATGCGGCGCGGGGAATCCCCCAGCGGCGCAAGCTCCGGACGGAGCAGGACAGCTGCCGCGCAGAGGATGATGGCCGGAAGCGGCGGAGCAACTGCCACCGGCGCGTAGGGCGGAAGAATGGTGACGGCCCGCCCGGCACAGAGGACAAGGTCTTGCTTAAGAGCAAGCGGGAAGACAAGGAGAAGCGTGTCGTCAACGAGGCTACCGTCAAGCTCGCGGCGGGCAAGAGCCTGGAAGACGCCAAACTGGGCCGAGCACGCCACAATGACAACGTCAAACGGCGCCTGTGCGTCAGACATCCCCATCGGGTGAGATGCTAGCGTGGCCCGGAACGTGGTGCTCGCCAGCGATCCGCGGGACGCGGTGGCCTTGGCGAGATCAGCCTGCGCCCGGAGTCGTAGCCGAGCACGGCGGAAGGCAGCGGCCATGCCGTCAACGACAACCGCAAAACGAGAGGCGCGGTTGCGATCGCGGGCGGCTCCCAGATCCTGGGTCGGCTGCTTCCGCGAGAGCATCGACCGGAGGCGGTCGACAGCCGAGAGTGGCGCTCGCGGTGCAGCATCGAGGGCTGAGACCGCGGCGGCGGCGAGCGCTAGGCCGAGCTCACCGCTCCCGTTCGGGCCTCCAAAGCCCGGGTCCGGCGACGAAGACAGGATTTCGTCGACCATGCGGTGGGTTTTGCAGGCCGCAGTGGTGTCGGATGAGAACAGGATGTCGTCGTCGATGTCGTCCGAGGCGAGGACTCGCGCCAGCGGCCGGCTCCGCTTGGCGTCTGGCGGGCGGGCTTCGAGGATGTCCGAGTCCGACTCGGTGTCCGACTCTAGGATCATGGGCGAGGCGAGCGGCGGGCGGGCAACGTGACTTCGGCCTGCCATCGCTTTGACCGGAGACGGCTGCGACTGGGACTCGCCGCCCGAGTCGACAATGTCGTCCATGGCCAGCACGCTTGCATGGTGCCCGCTACCGCCCGCCTCGCCGCCGCCGTCGGCCCGTCTTCCATTGTAGTTAGCCTGGTTTCCGCTCCCCGCTGGCAAGTCCATCACCTCTCGCCTCCGCTTGAGCGCCGACTGGTACATGGCGCGCATTGTGCGGAGGGGGGTGAGGGGAAGGGGAGGGGAGGGGGAGAGGTGGTGGTGATCGTGATCGCGTTCGGTGGCCGAAAAAGGTCGCACTTTTCGCAGTTGGAGCAGCTAGCCGGTCATCACCTCAGCCACAACCGTGTGAGGTCAAGGCTGCAGAAGCTGAAAGTGGGCATGGCGATGCGTAACGTCTTTACCTTACGAAACTAGCAAAGTGCTGTCGGTGGCTGACTACAGCTCAAGCTTCTCCTTGGCCTCGATCTCGGCCTGATCAAGATCCATGTCGAGGACCTTGGCCATCGAGGCGGCGAGCTGGTCCATAGTCGGGTAGTAGTACTTGTACTTGGGGTTCCCGCCCTCGTTGATGACCTGGGAGAGGACAGTGCCGGAGGGAGTGACAAAGAGCACGCGCGGGATGTAGCCTCCGTCCGGGCGGAAGATCTCGTCCTGCGGCTCATCGTCATCGCCAAGGTTGAGCATAGCGAACGACTCGGCCAGCGCAGTCACCGATCCCGGCTCGGCACCACCGGCACTCGCTGCGTCCTCGGCCTCCTTGCGGAAGAGCGCCTTGAGGTTCTTGCACGCGCCACAGTACGACTTGTGGATGATGAGCATGACCGGCTTGTTCTGTACCCCGGCACCCGAGCACGGGTACAGACACACGCACACACACACACACACACACACACACACACACACGCACACGCACACATATGCATGAGTCCACCGCCCACATACATCCTCCTATCCATCGCCACCCTCTTTGGTCGTTCGTACGTCGTCACGGGCAATGTCGAGCGCCTCATCGTAGGTGGCCAGCCAGTCGATGGCAGAGCCAAAGCCCGAGCCGTCGTCGGTGGCCGAGACGGCGCAAAGGCAGGCAGCAAGAAGCGCAGCCACTAGAACAATCCAAGTGCATAGTTGTATGGGATGTAGAGAGGGCTGTTAGCGTCTTGGCGTCTTGACCTGGCACCAGTCGTCTCTTGGCGTCACCGCATTGAGCATTTGAGGAGGCAGAGCAGTTTGCGGCGAGCAGCCGGCAGGCGACGGCTCGCGGCTCACAGCGCTGCACGGTTTACAATCATGAGCTCGCTCATCGGAGCTGGTCATGGCGCGAGGTTTCGACATCAATCAGCTCCTGTGAGGTGAGATCGTCGGCCTCCTCCTGCTCGAAGAAGTCGAGGGCGGTGCGGAGCTCGGCGTACTCGTCCTCGTCAAAGCCGTGCTTCTTGTACAGCTTTGCGGCCTTCTTTTCCTGGACGTACTTTTGCAGCGATGAGTACGAATCGACGGGCACGCCGCGGAACTGGAAGAGGAACGAGAAGAGGGCGACGTTGGCAACGCCCATGACGTACGAAATGGGTTCCATAACGTCCCAAGAGAACTCCCACCAGGTGAGGCGAGCGATAAAGGCAAGCTGTCCGGCGGAGAAAACCCAGCCGCCCCACATGACGCGACGGGCGTGCTTGTATGCCTGGGTATCGAGCGCCGCCTTGGTGTCGACAAGCGGCTGGAGGCGGTCGACCAGAAGGTTGATGATGGTGGCGCGGCGGTCGCGCTCCCAGTCGCGCTCCTGGAGCGTCCGGATGCGGAGCGACTTGCGGAGCTCCTGAGAGACAAGCTCGGGCTTGAGGAAGATGGTGTTGCGCATGTGCGGCTCGTCTTCAAAGTACAGAACCTGGCCGGCGCCGTGCATGCACGACAGCACGCGACCGGCCTCGTCGCGCGAGACGCCCAGCTCCTCGCACAGCCCGTAGAACTCGTCGACGTCCATGTCGGTCTGGCCGGCGACCTCAGCCTTGTCGCGGACGGTGGCGAGGATGCGATCGTAGTCGGCAAACTCACTCGGCTCGCCGGCGTCGGCCTGCGAGGTCAAAGCTCCGCCGCGGCGGTGGTCGACAACCGGCAGGATCCGCGTCCGCTCTCCATTGATGGAAATGTACAGCGGGTCGCCAAGGAGGTCCTCGCGGAGCCCGTCGGGCCCGTACGCCAGCCGCAGCTCGATCGGGCTCGGCAGGATGTGCTCGAGCCGGGTGCCCTCGGCAACCTTGGCTGCCGCACCCGGCGAGGCCTCGGTCTCAAAGTGGACCTCGCTGATGTTTGGCGACTCGGCCACAATGGCCTCCGCCACCTCGCCAAGCGTCTTTTGCGGCGTCAGATAGAACGAGCACGGCTTGTCCGGCAACGGCAGCGTCACCCGTCCGCTCGTCCCGTCCCTATTGAGCACAAGCTCCGTCTCGCCGCTCGTCACACTTGCTGCAGCGCCGCCAGAGAACAGCGCCCGCCACCCTGCCCCGCCGGCCGCAACGCCGGCACCAGGCACCGCCACCCCGCCTCGCCTCGCCTCACATGCCACTGTACGTGCCACACATCCCACAAGCCCTCCACGAAACATCCTCTCTGCCTTCTGTTTGCTCTGCTTGCCCACGGACGAGTCGTGTCTGCCGCTCTTCCTCCCTCTCCAAAACAAACGCCCAACTCTCTCTCGCCACAGAACCCACGTCCAACGGCCGTCGCCCCGCCGCCCGCCACTCGCCAGGTCCGCCGCCCCGCCAGCTCGCCCACCCGCCCGCCCTCTGCCTCCACCACCTGCGAACAAACAATGATTGAAAGAAAGTAGCACAACCACGGGCGGAGGAAGTCGCCTTCCTCCCTTCCTTCCTTCCCCCGCCTTCGCCTTCCCCGCGTTCTTCCTCCGCTCTTCTCCCTCCTTCGCCCCTGCCCCCCCTCCTCCCCTCCCCCCCTCCCCCTGCCGCTCATGTCACACAAACACAGCTTCAACTCGATTCGATTCGAGTCCAGAAACCAGAATGAGCCAACGAAATGAGTTTGTAACGAGTGACTTTCATCGGTTGCCTTCCAAACAAAGCACCCCTTCTCTCAACCAAGCCAAGATGGTGCGGTTTACTCTTTCGGACATCCGGTACGATTCCGCCTCTTCCTTCCCAACTCTCCTGCTTGACGGAGACGGAACACAAGACTAGGACATGCCTTTATGTCTTGCTCTGCAGTTCCTGTTCCCTATGCCCACCCCCTCCTGTGCCCCCCCCCCTTCTCCCCCCCTCCTCGCCATCCCACCTTTGGGGGATGGCTTGGTCTGGGGGGAATTTTTTGAGGAACACACAGACAAGCTGTGGCAAAGCCTCCGGCCCTGATGGTGCCTGGGATGTTTCTAGTTCCCCACACAGCAGCTCGGCCGCCCACGGTCTACTCGCGCTGCAACAGTTGCACCGACCTCCCCAGGCTCGGAACTCGTTTTCCTCGCCGCCGCGCCCCTCGCTTCGCTGTCGAGGTATGGTGGATTCGGATGACGGTGGCGGATCAAACGCACGGCCTTTTGCTCCAACTCTGCCGCAACTCCATGCGAACCAAATCGAGCCAGGGCCCGGCACCAGCTCCTGACCGACAAAGCCCACGCTCGTTGCATGCAATGTGCCGTGAAGACAATGCCGGCACTGCAGCCGTTGTCTGCGCGACAAAGGTTGTGGGGTTTGCGGCGGGTCTCGGGCCCATTTTTGCGGTTTGCTTGATTTTGAGACATCCTCCATGTCGGTGACTTTGGCCGGTGCCACTCACGCCCACGTCTTGAAACTACAGTGAGATCATGAACTACAAGGAGAACATCCGCTGCCTCTCCGTCATTGCCCATGTCGACCACGGCAAGTCCACCCTTACGGATTCGCTCATCTCCAAGGCCGGTATTATTTCGTCGGCCAAGGCTGGTGAGGCCCGTTTCACCGACACCCGCCAGGACGAGCAGGATCGTTGCATTACGATCAAGTCGACTGGTGTGTCGCTTTTCTACGAGGTTGACGACGAGCTCGTCGCTCAGTTCTCGGAGGCGCAGGCCGCGTCGGGCAAGAACGGTTTCCTCATCAACCTCATCGACTCGCCCGGCCATGTCGATTTCTCGTCTGAGGTGTCTGCTGCGCTTCGCGTTACCGACGGTGCCCTGGTGGTCGTCGATTGCGTCGAGGGTGTGTGCGTCCAGACCGAGACCGTCCTCCGCCAGGCGCTCGGCGAGCGCATCAAGCCGGTGCTGATGGTCAACAAGATGGACCGTGTCTTCCTTGAGCTCCAGCTCGACCCGGAGGAGGCCTACCAGTCGTTTGCCCGTACCATCGAGTCGGTCAACGTGGTCATCGCCACCTACAACGACGACGCCCTCGGTGACGTCGCCGTCTACCCGCAGGAGGGTACCGTCGCGTTCGGCTCTGGCCTCCACGGCTGGGGCTTCACCCTCGGCCGCTTCGCCTCGCTCTACGCCAAGAAGTTCGGCGTTGCCGAGAAGAAGATGATGAAGAAGCTTTGGGGCGATTCGTTCTTTGACCCGAAGACCAAGAAGTGGCGCAAGGTCGCCCGCTCGGACAAGGGCAAGCCGCTCAAGCGCGCCTTCTGCCAGTTCGTGCTCGACCCGATCTACAAGCTCGTCAACGCTGTCATGAACAACGAGACCGCCGTCATGGAGAAGATGTTCGAGTCGCTCTCGATCAAGCTCAAGGGTGACGAGAAGGATCTCCTTGGCAAGCCGCTCCTCAAGGTGGTCATGCGCAAGTTCCTGCCCGCCGCCGAGGCTCTGCTCGAGATGATCGTGCTCCACCTCCCGTCGCCGGTCACTGCGCAGAAGTACCGTGTGGAGACCCTGTACGAGGGCCCGCTCGACGACCCGTGCGCCATCGCCATCCGCGACTGCGACCCCGAGGGTCCGCTCATGCTGTACGTGTCCAAGATGGTCCCGACCTCGGACAAGGGCCGCTTCTACGCTTTCGGCCGTGTTTTCTCGGGCGTCTGCCGCACCGGCCAGAAGGTCCGCATCATGGGCCCGGAGTACGTGCCCGGCAAGAAGACCGACCTGTTCATCAAGAACATCCAGCGTACCGTCCTCATGATGGGCCGCTCGGTCGACCAGATCGAGGACGTCCCGTGCGGTAACACCGTCGGCCTCGTCGGCATTGACCAGTACCTCCTCAAGACCGGTACCATCACCACCGAGGAGTGCGCCCATAACTTCAAGGTCATGAAGTTCTCCGTCTCGCCCGTCGTTCGTGTCGCCGTCGAGCCGAAGAACCCGTCGGAGCTCCCCAAGCTCGTTGAGGGCCTCAAGCGCCTGTCCAAGTCTGACCCGTGCGTTCTCTGCATTTCGGACGAGTCGACTGGCGAGCACATTGTTGCCGGTGCCGGTGAGCTGCACCTCGAGATTTGCCTTAAGGACCTCGCCGAGGACCACGCTGGCATCGAGATTGTTCAGTCCGAGCCCGTTGTCTCGTACCGTGAGACCGTCACCACCAACTCGACCGAGACCTGCCTGTCCAAGTCGCCCAACAAGCATAACCGCATCTGGGCCGAGGCCGAGCCGATGAAGGTCGAGCTCTGCGACGACATCGAGAACAAGGTCGTCACCGGCCGCCAGGATGCCAAGGAGCGCGCCCGCTACCTCATCGACACCTACGAGTGGGATGCCACCGACGCCAAGAAGATCTGGTGCTTCGGCCCCGAGGGCAACGGCCCCAACCTGTGCGTCGACGCCTCGCGCGCCGTCCAGTACCTCAACGAGATCAAGGATTCGGTCGTCGCCGGCTTCCAGCTCGCTTCGGCCGACGGTGTCCTCTGTGACGAGAACATGCGCGGTGTTCGCATGAACATCACCGATGCCAACCTCCACGCTGATACCATCCACCGTGGTGGTGGCCAGATCATCCCGACCTCGCGCCGCGTCTTCTACGCTTGCCAGCTCACCGCTGAGCCGCGCCTTCTCGAGCCGGTCTACCTCGTCGACATCCAGGCCCCTGACGTCGCCATCGGTGGCATTTACTCGACCCTCACCACCCGCCGTGGCCACGTGTTCGCCCAGGACCAGCGCCCGGGTACCCCGCTCTACCACATCAAGGCTTACCTCCCGGTCATGGAGTCGTTCGGTTTCACCGCCGCCCTTCGCTCGCAGACCTCCGGCCAGGCCTTCCCGCAGTGCGTCTTCGACCACTGGCAGCAGCTCTCTGGCTCGCCCTTCGATGACGGCACCTCGACCGCCGAGGTCGTCGCCAAGACCCGTGCCCGCAAGGGTCTCAAGGAGGGCATCCCGGCCCTCGGCAACTTCATGGACCGCATGTAAGTTGGTGATCTAAAACATTTTGCATCATTGCTTGTTGCCCTTTCCCCCGCCCCCGCCCCCCTGTCGTACCCTGCTGGCCCACTCGTCGCACTTTGGCCATGTCCTCCCACGCCACCTACGCCGCACAAAGGCTCGCAGCGGTGGACCGACTGGTGAGCGAGCTAAGCCATACTGGCGCTGAACTTGCAAAGGCCTCGGTCGAGCAGCTTATTCCTGCCTTTGACGCCTACGCCCAGCCCCGCAAGCCTGACCCCGCATTTGACCCCGACAAGCCCGCCCAGGTCGTGATCGCCGCCGACCACCAGTCCGTGCCCGACCCCCAGCACGCGCCCAAGGCCGGGCATGTGACCCAAGCTGCACCCTCACCCTTACCCTCACCCTCACCCTCACCCTCACTCTCCGCTCCTACCGCTCTGGCCATCGAGCCGCAGCAGTCGGTCGTCGGCAAGGTCCTGGTCGCCATTCACGACCTCGTCACTGCCGGCCGGCTTTCCAAGGCCCATCGCGATGCTCTCATTGACTCTGTTGTTCGTCGCGCCAGGCCCGCTTTTCCGGCTCTGGCAAAGGCCTTCACAAGGGACGATCTCCTCGTCGCCGCAGCTAGTGGCGAGCTGGCCGACGCCATCTGCCGCATCGCTACCGAATCCCTGGCCAATCCTCCGCAACCCGAAGCATCCTCATCCCCCGCTCCGGCCACCGAATCCCTGGCCAATCCTCCGCAACCCGAAGCATCCTCATCCCCCGCTCCGGCCACGCCATCCGCATCATCCCTCGCTCCGGCCACACAACCCGAATCATCCCCCGCTCCGGCCACACAACCCGAATCATCCCCCGCTCCGGCCACACAACCCGCATCGTCCCCTGCTCCAGCCACGCAACCGGCACCATCGCCAAACGGCAAGGAGAAAGACGCTCCCCTCCACCAGCCGCATGTCTCGCTCACCGGCCAGCTGCTCGTCATCGCCCACTCGCTCCACGATGCAGGAACCCTTTCGGAACCGGCGTATCGCGAGGTCAAGCGTCGTGTTGTGTGCGGAGAGTTTGCTTCGCAGCCGGCGTTTGTCATGGCGCACTCGTTTGCCGAGGCCGCCATCGCCTCACGCTCATCGCTGCCAGCATCTGTTGTACAGGTCCGAAGCCAGCCGCTTCCGCCGTTTTCGAGCCACATCACCGCCGAGATCGTCGAAATGTACACCTCGGTCAAGTCGGAGCCGCTCCGCTCGCCGCCGCGGGCTCCTACATCTCCGACGCCAACTACCCTCGACATCGCGCCCTACACCCACACTTCGCTCATTACCGCCATCCTCAGCATCGCCACCGAAGCCGTCTCCAAGGCTCGGCGCACCAACAGCAATGGCAGCGGCATCCTCTTGATGCAGTGGCAGGAGTTCTACGCCCTCCGCACCATCCTGCTCGACACATCGCATCCAGAGCATGTTTCGCTTCTCAACGGCGCTGCTCGGGCCGCAGAGCCGGGTGACCGCTCTGCGCTTCATCTCTACGTGATGGCAGCCGCCTCGCGCGCTGTGGTCAGCCGGCTCAAGAGTTTTCGCGCCGGGTCGTCGACCATCGAGGCCGGGTCAACAATCTCGCCGCTTACTTCTGCTTTCCTCGCCCTCCATAGGGCCCATTACGTCCACAAGGCCATCGACGCGCCCACCATGACTGCCTGCAAGCTGGTGCTCACTGCCCGCAACCACGCTGCGCTTCTTGCGCGCAACGCCATCGTCGCCCACATCAACTCGGCTTCGCTCGCCACCGTTCACACCGCTTTTCGCCGTCTCGCCACCAACTACCGCAGTTTGCTCGGCCTCCCGCCGCATCCGCCGCCGCTCCAGCTGCCCGAGCGCGAGGCGCTGGCTGTTCCAAACCGGGCTTCGTCACCAGCCGCTAGTCCTGCAACCCCAGAGCCGCAGCCGCAGCCGCAACCGCAGCTGCAGCCGCAGCCGCAGCCGCAGTCGCGCTCCTCGTTCGATCTCCCACTCACACGCGCCACTTTTGCAATGGCGCTCACCGCGCTGCGCGTCGTCGCGGCTGCGGACAAGGCCACTCACAAGGACGCCCTCATCCGCGGCGAGTGCGCTGCTGTTCGCCATGTCCTCGAGCTGATGACATCGGCCTCGCTCGACGCCAACCAGGCGCTCGCGGTTCGCCCTGTCGCCGCTGGCCTCCTTTTCCTCGCCGCCCATTCCGGCCTCGGCTCGGCCGCTGCCGCCGCCGTCAAGGACGCCGTCGTTCGCGGTGACATGGCTCAAGCTGCCCAGATGATATTGTCCGCCGCGCCGTCTACCTCGCCGACTCCGCCATCCGCTGCATTAAGCTCGCCCGCTGCCAACCCCCAGCCGGTCACCAGCCCCAAAGTGCTTCCGCCCGCTCCCCAGTCACCGGCACCACTCGTGTCGCCTCCATCTCCTCTGCCACCGCCGCTTCCGCCGCTCCCACTTCCGACTCCCGACGACATCCAGGCGCTGCTCCAGTCCATCCCCGAACCGACGGTCGGAGTGTGGCACGCCATCGACCCAACAACGCTGGCACATGACGTCACCGCTGTCGTTGCCGCCGAAGTGAGCAATCCACACGACGAAGCTCTTCGCAAGCACAAGCCGTCGCTCATCCGGCTGCTGTGCGCTGCCGCGCTCGCGCCCGGTGCGACGCAGGACTTGTCGGCAACGGTGCATACCATTGCCGCCCACAGCGACCTTGTTTCTACGCCCGGTCACGGAGCGAGCAGCGCCGCATGTTTCAGCATGGGCCAATCTCGACGCCATCGCAGACATGGAGCCTGATTCGCAGCCAAGCTGTGGGCCCGGCCCGGCGCTCCTGGTGCTGGCACGCTCGAACGAGCCGCCTGAGGTCAGGGCCAAGGTCAAGGCCGCCATTCTCGCTCCGACACTCGATGCCAAGGCTCTGTGGGCGCTCGCCGCCGCCGACCACGTCTCGGATGACTACGTCATTCGCATCGCCCGCGCGCTCGCCGACGCCGAGCCGACCTTGCTCGCCACCGCGCCTGCCGAGGCTTCTGCTGGCGCCAAGTGGACTGACGTTGACATCGACGTCACCACAGATGCGTGAAGGACGCATCGCCGCTTGGCAAGGCCTTTGTTGCCCTCGCCCACCTCCACTCTGCCTCGATCATCACGACTCGGCAGTTCGAGCTGGGCAAGTTGCTCGTCATGGCCGACGGCAACAAGCCCGCCGCCGTTGCCCATGCCGCCGCCGTCGCAGACACTATGGCCTCGCCGCGGCCGCTTCTCTGGTACCTCTACTCGGCAATGCTTGCCCCGCCTACGCTCTCGTCGTTGCCCGCGAGGCCAGGCCTCTGCTCGCCGATGAGCTCGCCAGGCTGGACTCCGCCGAAGCCCCCACGTCTGCACCCGCGTCTGCTACTAACGCTCCCTCTATCGCCGTCCAACTGGCTAGCGCTCGAGCCGCGGCTCTCACCAAGATCCACTCACCGACTGCCGCCTCGGCTGCGATGACCGGCTCGAAGCCTACGCAAGTGCAGCAGCCGGTGAGCTCTCCCCGCTCCGCGCTCGCCTCGGCGCGGCTCCAGGCCCTCACCGCGCTTCACTCCCCGGCATCCGGCACATCGCCCGCCGCGCCCGCCTTTAGCTGAACCGAGCCTCCGTGCTAAACCACCCAGATAGTCATCCCGACATCCAATGGAAGCACCGCCAGCCACATCAGAAGCTCTGTCGGCCCCCATGTCGCCGCAAAGAGCGACAAGCCAGTCACTCACCAACACACACGCACACACACACACACACACAAGGCCGGACACTCCACCTCCTACCAGCTGCCACATAGCCTCTACATTTGGCAGACATGAAGCTCTCCCGAGGCCCGTCTAACACAGGAGCTGGCAAACTGGCCCAGTTCACCAGCCTGCTCCAGCAAATCCGGAGCGAGTCGTCGCACACGGGCAAGACCGAGGTGATCGAGAGGTTTCTGGCCAGCTACCAAGGCTCTGTCTACCTGCTCTTCAAGCTGCTGTTGACCAAGGAGGATAAGAGAGTGTACAATATTCGCGATAAGCAGCTGGCAAAGCTCATGGCTCAACTGCTCGACATGCCTGTCGACTCGGTCCGGGGCCATCTCGCAAAGTCAGGCAGCATGGCAGAGACCGCCGCTTACTTCTTCTCAAAGGCATCATACCTCCGCCCGCAGGCCGTCTCTACCCTGAGCCTCGCCGAAGTCGACGCTTTTTTGGACAAGTTTACAGAGGCGACAACAGAGGCCGATCAGACCGCTCTGCTGGCCAAGGTCCTCGCTCGGGCGACGGCCGAGGATCTGGAGACCTTTCTGCTTCTGCTCAACCACGATGTGCGGGCACGAATTGGAACGCATGCCGCACTCAAGGCGCTCGGCGTTGAGGCTGTCTCGGCCTACCGCCACTCGGCCGATCTCAAGTTGCTCATCGACCGCATGCGCGGGCGGACGCCGTCGTCGCTGGCCGCGGCCGAGTCGGGCGGCCCGCCGCCGTCGTCGGCCTCGAACTTTACCCTCATGAAGCCGATCAAGCCGATGCTGGCCCGGGCGTGCAAATCGGTTGATGAGGCCTTTCGCCGTGTCCCGCAAGGCATGTACGCCGAGATCAAGTACGACGGCGAGCGGATCCAGATCCACAAGAACGGCTCGTCTTTTGCGTACTACTCGCGCAACCTCAAGCCTGTTCTCTCGTGGAAGACCGCACCGATTGAGCAGTTTGTGCTCAACGCCACGTCTGCATCGACCATTGTGCTGGACGGCGAGATCCTGCTGGTCGACACCGCATCGGGCGCGCCGCTCCCGTTTGCCATGTTCTCCAAGCACAAGAACGCCAACTTTGCGTCCGCCACCGTGTGCCTCTTCATTTTTGACATCCTCTACCTCGACGGAGTGCCGCTTCTGGACAAGCCGATCTCCGAGCGCCGTGCCCTGCTCAAGCAGCACCTCACAGTTGTGCCAAACCGGATCCAGCTCTCGGAGCTAACCGAGATCCACCAAGAGGCCGACTTGACCTCGCTCATGAATCGGGTCATCCGGCAAGGCCTCGAGGGACTTGTGCTCAAGGCCATCGACTCGGTCTACACGCCAGCGGCACGCCACTGGCTCAAGATCAAGAAGGACTACCTCAAGGGCATGGCCGACACGGCCGACTTGGTCGTCCTTGGTGCGTACTACGGCAAGGGCTCGAACGGTGGCCTACTCACCACCTTTCTCATGGGCTCGTTCGATCCGGCCACGGCGCTGTGGAAGACCGTGTGTAAGGTCGGCTCGTTTGACGATGCCGGCGTCGCCGAGCTGCAAACCCGGTTCCTGCCGCTCATGGACCCGCTAGCTGGTCCCAATGCGCGCGCCATCCCGCCGTGGCTCGACGTCCACTCGGTCTACGCTCCGGACTTTGTGGTCCGCGACCCGATGGCCATGCCGGTGTGGGAGGTCGAGGGCGCCGAGTTCTCCATCTCCTCGCATCACACCGCCAATGGCATCTCCATCCGATTCCCGCGTTTTGTCCGCGAGCGGACCGACAAGTCGGTGGCCGACCACACCTCACTCCCGCAGCTGGTTGCCCTTCGCGACGCCTCAGTCTCGGGCAACGTTCTCGCGCTCCGCGACCGCGACTCGGGCTCGGCGTCGCGCTCAGCATCAGCGTCGGCGTCGGCGACGTCGCGCAAGCGGGGTGCCCAGGCCGCGATCACCCAGTTTGCCAACCCGGCCAAGAAGGCACGTGGTCTCTTGAGCTCGCCGAGCGGAGGCGTTGCGCCGCCGTCGTCGCCGCCGCCGCAGTGGACGGTGCCTGTGGCATCGCCCGCCGCAGCCCGTCCGAGCGCCGTCAACTATGTGACCGCGACGCTGGCCAACGTGTTGGCGTCGGACTGGGCGGGTGGACTGGCGGCAAGCGGCAAGCCTCTCTATGTGGTGGCTATGGTGGTGGATGCGGCCGAGGCCTGGTCTGCGCCTGGATCGCAAGGTCCGGCGGTCGAGGCCGCGGCGCCCGGAGCCAAGTCGCGGTTCGCCGCGGCAGGTCAAGCGGCAGCTTCGCTTGGGGCCATCACGTTCCTAGAAGTCGCGCCGTTGGTGACCGTGGTGACGGTTGGCTGCCTCGACAGCTCTGCTGCGGTGAACACGGCGGCGGTGGCGATGCCGGGCTTTGTGACCTCGATCTACACGTCAGCGCTGGCCAAGGTTGCGGCGCGGGCGTACACCAACGGCGGCGCAGTTGTGGTACCCGAGGTCCGTGGCGGAGTGGTGCCGTATCTGGATCGGGCGGCGCTGTACAAGGCGCTGCAAGACACGACAGTGGCGCGGCGAGTGGTGACCATTGTGGCTGGCGCGGCGGGTCAGTCGACTCCGGCTCCGGCTCCGGCTGTGGGGCCACCACAAGTGGCGCCGACTGGCCCGGTGCCGATGGTGGAAGAGACGCGGGCGCCGCCGCCGCCAGTGGCGCCGGCAAAGCGGGTGACCAAGCCGCTGGTCCACAAGCGGGTGGTGCTTTCGGTGAAGGACGCCGAAAAGCGACGCAAGGTGGTGGCGGCGGTACGGGCGATGGGCGCCGAGGTACAGGAAGCGTGGCGGCCATCGGGCATCAACGCGTCGCACTTTATGATTGCGCTCAACGAGTCGCGGTCAGCCACTGAGGTCCGCGAGCTAGGTGCGCCGGTGGTCGGCATGTCGCTCCTGGAGCACCTGATGGCTGGGCACAAGCTGCCGAGCCGGCTGGAGCTGATCTCGCGATGGACAGTGTCGAATGCCGACGCCGAGACTGCGGCAGTGGAGGCGCGGCCGATGGCAGTGGCGCAGCCGGTGAAGGCACAGCCAGTGGAGGCGGAGCAAGTGGAGGCACCGGCTGCGGCCAAGCCGGCCAGTGCTGTCTTTGCGGGTGTCACTGTTCTCCTCTACAACGTGCCGGCTGCCGAGTACTCGGAAGTGTACCGGTATCTTGTGGCCCACGAGGCCGAGGTGCTCAACGCCGAGCCAGACGCGCTAGATGCGGTCGGCGATGTGGCGAGCGCGTCGGTGCCGGGCTCCGGGCTGGACACGATTGTGGTTGGCGACGGCTCCGGCTGGGACGCGGTGCTGGCGGCGATCGGCGGCGCGCATCCGCAGGTGCGAGTCAAGACCGTCGGGTGGGTATGGGCGTCGATCAAGGCCGGTGCAGTGGTCGAGGGCCACGAGCTGGTGCGGTGAGCTCGAGTCACAGGGTGGCGGCCGTGGGGCGGCCGGCGCGGGTGTGGAGAGCACGTGCCGCCATGACGGTGTAAATTCGCTGGGCGACGTTGTACTCGACAGTCTCGATGAGCGGCGCAAGCATGCCGGTGTCATCGACGTGGTCTGAGACGAGCTCCGGGTGGTGCTCGACGAGCGAGGTGATGCAGGCGATGGCGGAGCGCTTGTCGCGGGCCGAGATAAACACTTTGGAGGGCGTGGCAACGGCGGAGCGATCGAGGCCAAAGCCGTGGAGGGCGGCAAGGAGGTCAGAGACGTCCGGGCGGACCTTGCTAAGGAGAGCGTTGAGTGGGGCGAGCGGGTCATAGTTGGAGAAAGATGTGCCCTCGGCGAGGTGGGAGATGAGCTTGGAGAGGAGGACGAGGGTAGCGCGGCCCTCGGGGGTGGGCTCGGGGGTTTCTGTGGCGTAGACGTGCGGCGAGAGCAGCATGGGCAGGACCATGCGCTGGATAAAGAAATGGCACCATAGTTGGGCATGATGACCGCGGCGTCAAGCGCACGGCATAAGTCATGGAACCGCGGTGGGAGTGCGCGTGCGGCGTGACCGAGGGCGACGATGAGTGCCGAGAGGAGGCGATGGACCGAGACAACAAGCGCGCGGGCTTTCGGCGAGGCCTCATTGGCCAGTGCCGAGGTGTCGAGGACCTTGCACGAGGCGCCGACGGGCGCAAGGACCGGAAGGAGCTCGGTGCGGAGAACGTCGACGGTGACGAGCTCAAAGTAGACCGAGAGAATGCGCGACGGGGGTGAGTTGCGCATAAACGATGAGAACTCGCGGATGGAGGCGCAGCGAGTGCGGAGCGTGGCCTTGCGGCCGGGAAGGGCGCCTCCGGATGCCGGGTCGGCGCGGGTCTCTGGGCTGTTCGACTCCAGCTGGCGGTTGATCCATTCGCCGGTGAGGGCGGCGACAAACGGCTCGGCGTGCTCCGACGCGAGGCCAAGGCGGACGTAGGCACGGGCGAGCGCATCGGCTTGAGCTGATGTCGAGGCGACGACATCATGAAGCGCAAGGTAGAGGCGTGGGCCACCGACAACAAAGAGGACCCGCGCAAAGAGGTTGACAAGGGCCGGGACCGGGAGGGCAGCGCGCTCGGGTGGACCGGCGAGGACGTTGGCGAGATGAACGAGGACGTTAGCAGCGCCGGAAAAGGTGTTCGAGTCGACCCAGAGGACCGAGCCGCAGGCATCGAGCAGCAGCTCGAGGTGCTGGGCAAGCGGTGCGGCGATGCGGTCAAGGGCGGTCTCGACGTCTGCAGCGGTGATGCCAGAGCGGAGGTCGTTGGGCGCGGCGGGCGCGTCGCGGAGCACGGCGGCAAAGAAGGCGTCGCGCATGTCGAGGTGCGACGCGACAAATTCGTCGTAGCACCCGAGGTGGGGGTGCTTGGCGGCAGCAGTAGTTACCCCAGAGGCAAGCTTTTGCAGCATCTGCGAGAGGACAACAAGATTACGGCGGGCGCGCTGACTCGGTGCCAAGCCGATGAGGCCGTAGCGGGCTGGCGAAGCGAGGGCCGGACAAATGAAGCGGAGGAAGAGGAAGGAGCCGATGGCAAAGTTTCCGGCGCCCTCAAACTTGGCCTCGACCGCGGTGTGAACAATAGTAGCGACGGCGCGCATGAGCGGCGGCATGGCGGAGACAGCCGCGGCGAGGCGGGTAAAGACGGCGTGGCCGTAGTCAATGACGGCCTGGGCGTGGGCGGCGAGGACAACGTCCGGGCTAGCGGCGTTGCCGATAGCAGCCGAATCGAGTTTGGCCGGATCGAGCTCGAGGTCACGAGCCGGGTCGCAGAGCTCGTGGACGATCCACGCCAAGTTGGTGTTGAGGTACTCTTGCCCGACGAGTGAAGCGAGGGCGGTGAGGAGGCGGGAAGCTGACGAATTGCCGCGGAAGAGCGTAGTGACAGTGTCGGTGGCGGCAACTTCGGCAGCGACGGCCCAGGCGAGGAGATCGAGGAAGCGGCCGTGTGGGAGAAGGATGGTAGTGAGGATGCGGGCAAAGGCGAGTGACATGGGCGCGCCGAGCGGAGTGGCAAAGAGCGCTTTGGGCAGGGCGAGTGAGGGGTGAACAAGGAGCTCCAGCAACGGCTGCGATGGGCCGAGGAACGTCCGCGTGGTGTGGGAAAACATCCACCGTTGGAAGAGCCAGTCGGGGATGCCGGTGAGCATGCGGACGAGGTCTCGATCGCCAGCGACCTCCATCTGACTTCGCAAGAGGTCGCACGAGTCGGCCACCATTTTGGCGGAGAACGGGAACATGACCGAGTCGTCGCCCAATCCTGAGATGACGGTTGTTTCGGCATCCGAGCGCGCAGTCGAGGTTGAAAGCTCCGAGATGGACCGCACCGCGCGCGGATTCGACGAGTCTGGTGAGAGCGGCGATGAGCCAATGTCAGACGACGACGCGGCGATATCGTGAGCCAGCGCCGACGCGGCGTCGTCCGAGAGGTGCGGCATGGTGAGTCGGACGCGAGCAGTAGAGAGAACATGTGGAAGGGCAGCGTCAGCTGATTCGGGTGAGAGCGAGCCCGGTGGGACAGGGAAGCCGCCGGGCACCGGCGAAGAGCTGGCGTCGCCGGGAGAGCCGACGTCGCTCGTTGAGAGCGCCACCACATGATAGGCACTGAGATCATCCAGTGTCTCACCAAAAGAAGAAGAAAAGGAGGAAAAGGTATCCCCATCCGACGAGATATCATCAAACGAGACGGTGGCGACGGTGGCCGACTCTGCCCGCAATCGCGCGAGGGCATGAGCTGCCATAGAAGGCGGCAAGTGGGAGGCCTGTTCGCCCTGCAAGCCATCATCACCATGGAGCGTTCCTGGTCGCGATGATGGTGGAGTACCAACCGTGGCCGGAAGAGGATCAGGCGAGCCAATAGCCACATGGGAAGAAGCTCTCCGCTCGGGACAGACCGGCCGAGCTGAGAGCGATGACGGGGTCGAGACAGCCGAGAGTTTGGTCGAATCAAGCGAGAGTGAGGCCACTCCATCAGCCGATGCGGCCAAAGGCGAGGAAGAGAGCAACGTTGTTGATGATGATGGCGATGATGATAATGACGATGGTGCCGGCATGACCGTCGCTGACGCCGTCGTCGCTGAAGTTGTCGCCGCCGTCTTGGCCCGGAGATACTCTAGCTCCAGGGCCTGGTCGGAAAGTGCGTCATTAGCACGGGCAAGGGCGGCCCGGAGGCGAGCATTCTCTGCCCGAAGTTGTTGTACTTCGTCCTGGGACATACAGGGGGGTGGGGGGGGGGGGGGGGGGGGGTAGCGAAGTGAGTGGAGTGTGTCGCACGAAAATGGCGTGGGCACGGGCAGAGCAGCGGGGCGGGGGGAGGGCCCATCTCTCCCCGCCCCTGGGGGTTGGTGGCGATCAGGAGGCTCTGTCTGTGGCAGATGGATTTGATGTGGAAGGGACGGGCAGAGTAGAGGGAGGGGGCTTGATTACATGGGAGCGGCATGATCGGTGGGAGGTGCTGGGATGGTGGACTCGAGAGTAGGGAGGACGTTGTTGGCGAGCTTGGTGGCGGTTCGTGCATCTGTACGGAGGCGATCGCAGAGATCATGTGTCAGCGGCATCGATGCGGCGTCGTCCTCAAGAGCATCGACCTCGTCGAGGAGGGACACGCAGTGGTTGATCTGCTCTTGCAATTGTCTCATCTGTAGCACAAAGATGGGCGGAGACAAGAGTAGTAGTGAGTTTCTAGCCCCATTTCAGCCTCAGCTAGCCGCACCACACCATGTGCCTGGGCCATCCGTCGCAGCCATCATCATCATCATCATCATCATCATCATCATCATCATCATCATCATCATCATCATCATCATCATCATCATAATCATCATCATCATCATCATCATCATCATCATCATCATCATCATAATCATCATAATCATCATCATCATCATCATCGTCATCATCATCATCATTGCCCATGTCCATGTCCATCATCATCATCAGCACCATGCTCATATCCATCATCATCATCAGCACCATGCTCATATCCATCATCAGCACCATAACATCACACACATCACATTGCATGACATGGCACACATCCCTCACTCCGATCATGTCCAGCACATACCCCATCAGCCACATCGCGGGTGGCAGACTCGCCCTTGGCCTCCACCTTTTCCAGCAGAGCGTTGAAGAGTGGAAGTAGGTCAAAGGCGGCTGTGAACTCGCTGTCGACCTGGCTGAAGACTCCGACGGCCACACGGTCCGAGACAGGCCCAGCAACAGGCGTGCCCACACCGGGCGACCCTGCCCACTCGTTCATGCTTATGTTGCTCTCGCCTTCCATCACGCGCAGTCGTCACAGAAGTCAAGTGTCCCGCCTCCGACCACCATCTCGCCCAACTCGCCCGACTCGCCCAACTCGCGAGACACGCCCGACACGCCCGACACGCCCGACTCGGGAAGACGCCCGACACGCCAGGTTAGAGACGAGGGAAGATTGATGAACGGGGCGACGGGCAACAACAGGCTGCAGGGAAACGGAAAAGAGGCTGCTGATTGTTGACGCATGTCATCATCATCATCATCATCATCATCATCATCATCATCATCATCATCATCATCATCATCATCATCATCTTCTTCATCATCTTCTTCTTCTATGCACGGGTGATGGTGTTTGGTTTGGTTGCTCCTGCTGTGGTGTGGAAGTGGACTAAGGCTCTATCGTGCCGTCGGTGAGGAGGAACTGGGTGACACGGAGCGTGCAGAAGGCATCCGAGGCCGCGTACATCAGCTGCTTGTGGGCAAGCGGCCAGGCGGACCAATCGGACATCTGCGCGCCCTTGCCAAGGCGCTTGCCAAAGATGAGGGCAACAAGAGCGCGGAGCGAGGCCGAAACAAAGCCGCGATCGCGGGCGAGTGGAACAAGGTCAATAAAGCCGCGCGGCTCAAAGGAGCCGTACTCAGCCAGCCGGCCGAGGTCGCCGTGAACGCCCGGCGCATACTTGGGCACGTGGCTAGCCTCGAAGAGCGGGATGAGCGGCACAATCGTTCCGAGGACAAGAACAGGGATAATGTAGGTGATGCCCGATTCGAGGGCGAGCTGGACAATGGCCGTGGGATTGGGCGCCGCACCCTTGATGTAGTTGGGCTGCCACTCGGTGTCAAAGCCGATCATGGTGGCGAGGCCTGTGGCAAAAGCGTTGAGGATCTTCTCGACAACGATGGCCATGGCAGCGGCCGACTCGACGATCTCGATGTGAGTCTCCAACTTGGAGAGACGAAAGAGCGGTAGCTCGTTGATGTTGGCCTTGGTGATACGCTTCTCAGCGTGGATCCAGTAGAGGTGGGACTTCGCGCCCTCGAGCGACGGCATGGTCTTGCCGCACTCGGGACAGACGATCTTGCCGCGATGGCCAACAGCACGGGCATGGGCTCGCAACGCCTCATCTGACCCGGTCTTCTTGCAGTCGGAGCACTTGTGTTGCTTGTGAAGGTGTTGGACACGCTCGTCGTCGGTGAGAAACACTTCGCTGCAGTACTTGCACGGCGTACCCTCGTAGTCGCCGAGCACGTGGTCGGCTTCGGTGACACTGACCAGTTTGCAGCCCTCACTCGAGCTCCCAGGCGGATACAAATAAATAATGCTCCCACCCCTCCGAATGCTCATATCAAGCAAAGACATGATGTCCGAACCAAAGATGACGGCCCAGTACGGCTTGACCGAGCCCACGGCGTTGAGCATGATGTCGGCGGCGACCTCGCCGCCTCCATCAAGCTGAAAGTAAGCGGTGATGGTAAGGACAAAGCGGACACGCATCGGCTCCCACTCTTCAGGAGGTGCAGCATCGACTGAGCCCAGATGCTTGATGTAGAGCTTGTCCCGAACGTCCTTGGGCAGATGGTTGAGACCGATGATGGAAGTGGTCGAAGCCGTTGAGATCAGAGCATTGAACAGCATCCGAGCAGGCGCTGGCACGCCCACATCCACCGCAATCCTCGCCCGTGCAGCACTTGTTGTACTCTTTGGATGCGTTGCGAAACCAGACACAGATGTCCGTTCAAGCATGGGGAACGCGGTCCGCCACGTGGCTTCCTGCTCGCGTCCTGCACCCGCGCCTGCATCTGCTGACGACGATGCCGGCGCCGAAGATGCCGCTGTGCCTGCTCCGCCATTCTTCCTTCCATTGCTTCCGCCCCTCTGGCCTTTGCCTCTACGTTTGCCTCTCCGCGAGCCTCTGCCTGGCATGTGGGAGAAAGAGTCGAGTGTGTGTGTGTGGTGGGGGAGGACGTCAGTAGGCGGCGATCGAGGGCAGTAGGCGGCGATCGAGGGCAGTAGGCGGCGATCGAGGGCAGTAGGCGGCGATCGAGGGCAGTAGGCGGCGACCGAGGGCAGTAGGCGGCGAGTCGCAGTGGAGAAGGGATACGGTCAAGATGTTAGAGGCAGTGTAGGTGGTATAAGACAATAAGCATTCATTTCATTCGGTATCATGTGGATCCCCATCTCCATCACTGTCCCCGATCTCCCTCCCCACCCCGATCACCACCACCCCATTCCCCCACACCCTGCCAACCACCATCCATCCACCATCACACCACCACCACCACCACCACCACCACCACCACCACCACCACATCCCCATCTACTCATCCTACCCATCCCCATCTCCATCACTGTCCCCGATCTCCCTCCCACCCGATCACCACCACCCCATTCCCCCACACCCTGCCAACCACCATCCATCCACCATCACACCACCACCACCACCACCACCACACACCACACACCACACACACCACTCCACCCCCCGCCACACACACACACACACTTTCCCCCTCCACCATCCCCCCCCCACTCGTGCCACACACAGGCATCCTCAGGTTGGACACGTAGGAGACAGACAGTGACAGAGACCATGTCCGAGGTTGTGGCCATGGACGTGGAGAGCAGCGGCAAGGCCAAGGCCAAGGCCAAGAGCAAGGACAAGGCCAAGAGCAAGGACAAGAGCAAGGGCAAGGGGAAGGAGAAGAAGAGCAAGAAGATGGCTGACAACAAGAAAAAGCCCTCGTCGAGGAAGCGGGCCAGGGAGGAGGCATCGCCCGCAGCTGGCCAGGCTGCAGGGTCATCGTCAGCGGGCGAGCCATCGGCCGCCAAGAAGGCAAAGACTATCATGATGGAAGGTGATCTCTCCCATGCTATGCTGGCTGCCCAGAATGCTCGTGGCTTGGTTGTCTTTAAGGTCCCTCGTGGAACGCCGGTGGCCGACGTCACCTCGTCGCTGGCTGTCCGTCTTGCTGCTGATGACAATGATGATGATGACGGTGCTGCCCGTCTGGTCGAGGTCGAGGCCAAGGGCGGGAGCCTGGTGTGGGAGGAGGCTCCTGCACAGGATGTCGAGGCTATGCGCGTGCTTCTTCCAGAGCGCGCCCGCATGGATCAGCCCGTCATGACCAACAAGGTCGTGCAGATGTTCTCGGCTCGCCGCGAGCACGACATCCCAGCTCTGCCGCTGGCGTCGGGCTCTAACGACGCCGCCGCCCCAGGCGCCGCTGATCTGCTTGCCGCAGCCATGAAGTTCCCCAAGAAGAAGCAGCTCGAAGGCCTCGGCCTCTGCTTTGTTCCGCTCGGCGCAAAGGCCGCCAATCTCGGCAAGGCTGCCAACAAGTCGGCCGCGCTGCCTGCCACCCCGCAGGCGTCCAAGGCCAAGGCCAAGGACAAGGACAAGACCAAGGACAAGGCCAAGGCCAAGGACAAGACCAAGAAGAAGGACAAGGACAAGAAGAAGAAGAAGTCTAAGAAGAAGTAAAACCCTCCTCCCCATCATCGCCGCGGCTGTAGACCAGCCTCCAGCGCGTCGAGGAGCTGGCTGGCAATGCGGACGTACGCCTGCGCAGCCTCGGACTGCGGATCGGCCACCACAATTGGCGTGCCGGCATCCGCCGCGGCCCGCACACCGGACGAGAGCGGCAGCTGGCCGAGCAGCGGAACCGGGTCGCCGTCGACAGCGGCGTTAAGCTTGTCGAGCCCGCCAGCGCCAAACACATCGTCACGCTCGCCGCACGACGGGCACGTGTAGTACGCCATGTTCTCCACCAGGCCCAAAAGCGGGACCCGGAGCTTGCGGAACATGTTGGCGCCCTTGATTGCGTCGACAACCGCCACCTCCTGCGGCGTCGACACGATGACCGCGCCCGAGAGCGGGACCTCCTGGGTGAGTGTGAGCAGGGCATCGCCGGTCCCTGGCGGAGTGTCGATGACCAAGATCTCTGTCGGGCCCCATTCGACGCCCCACACCAGCTGCTTGACCATGGACATGACCATCGGACCACGCCACACCGCCGGCTGCGCCGCCTCGTCCATGAGAAAGCCGAGCGAGGAGGTGGCCACACCGTAGTTGATCACGGGATCCAGCAGCTTTGTCTCGGCATCCATGGCCGGCGGTTCAACAGACTTGACGTTCATCATAGTTGGCAGCGAAGGACCAAACACATCCACATCGGCCAGCCCCACCCGCATCTTGCACGCCGTCGCCAGCGCCAGCGCCACATTCACCGCCACCGTCGACTTGCCCACGCCGCCCTTGCCGGACGCCACCGCCACCACATGCCGCGGCAGTCTCCGCCGCTGTCCCCGCCCACGCGGCTCCGTAGCAGCACTACCGGTATGTCTCCGCATCCATGTCTGCACCACTCGTTGCCTGTACCCGCCCAGAACAACCCCAAGCATCGGTCACTGCCGCGTCGAGTGAGTCGCCCACCTCCAGCCACCACTCGCCGCCCGCTCGCCGCCCGCTCACTCGCCGCCACGCTCGCCACAAGACACGCCCGACTTCTCGCCGCAAGCCAAACAGCTCGCCCGCCCAACCGGCTCGATCGATGGTTGCTTAGCCATCAGCATGGCCATCAACCTTGTTTATCACATTGCTGCACTAATCCCTGACCGCCACGATCCCCCCCCCCCCCCCTCTCTGACAAGGTCGAGCCCTCGTCTCATTCCCTCTGTTCAGCAGCAATGGCGTCGATGACAGAGCGGACATGCAGCCGCATGGCGACAAGCCGATCCGGCCGAGCGGTGACTGGCTCGCCGGCGGCGATGCAGTGCGCAAAGTGAAGGAGATACACACCGCAGTCGTAGCCGTTACGCTGCTGCGGCGTGTTGCGGTCAGCCACAAACGATGCCTCATTGCTGACCGGCGGATCTGCGTTGTAGGTGACGAAAAAGTCGACGACAGCTGCGATGTCGGCTGCCGCCGCCGCGTTGCACCCGCCAGCAGAGTCGTAGTGACGATACGTCCGATCTTCAGCCGAGTACACCAAGAGCGACCAGTGCGAGCCACCGATGTGATCTGTGAGCGAAGTCTTGTCATTGACGGCAATGACAATCTGTTTAGCCTTGCCGAGGCCGAGCGGCTCAAACGATGGTGCGAGCATGCTGGGATCAGGCACAGCGGTCATGAGAAAGACAGTGGCTGGCGGAAGAAAGACAACCGGAAGTCCATCGCCATCGCCATCGCCATCGCCATCGCCACCCGCCACCACATCTCTAACCAGATACTCAAAGTAGAACGAGATGATGTTGTCGTTGAGCCACGCCCCGTCGTCAAGCAGCTCGAGCTCGCTCTGCAGCAAAGTTGTCCCACCAAGTGTACACAGTCCCACGCGGCCACTTTGCTTCTTCTCTGCTGCCATATCCGTTGTCCTCCTCTACTTCCGAGCTTCCAAGTCAGGTGTCGTGGCTCATCTCGTCGTATGTGCGTCTGAGGCCAAAGCAAAGCAAACGTCCCATGGAGCACGGTGATCACCATTTGCCATAGTCCGTATCGGACTTTGGATTGGGGGCGTAGCACTTGCCATCGGATGACCTCGCCACAGCGGGGGCAAGCACCGATGATGATGTAAGTCCGATATGCGACAGATCACATTGCCATCTACCTCACGACAAAGTTATATACGTTTAAGCATGGTATTTCTCTTGCTCTTCCTCTAATCCTGGCCAAGTCACCTGTGGCAACTTCCTCTGCCGGTCTCCAGCTCATCTAGCATCAACTGCCACATTCCATCGCCATGGCAAGCACTACCCATGCCTATCCCGGCACATCCATCATCATCATCATCATCATCATCGTCATCGTCAGTTGTCACCACAATCTCGCCATGCCAGCTGCTGTGCGCCCAACCGTAGCCACTCCCCTCTGCCTTTGCCCGAGCGCAGAGTGTGCACCACCCCTCTCCCTCCCCCCTCCTCCCCCCCCCGGACACTAACCATGGTGCTCCTTCTACGAGCCACTCTCACCGGCACCCTCCGCCCCTTTGCCCGCATGATCCAATGCATGGCCCGTGTGGGCGAAGATGTGTCCATTGAGGCCCACCCTGGCGAGGTACGAAAAAGGTCGTGGTTCTGCCCCCTCCTCCTCTCCCCCTCCCGCCAACCCTACTCACCCCCCCTCCCCCTCCTCCGTGGACACAGTTCATCATGAGGACCATCAACGGAGCGCGGTCTGCCTACTTTTCGTTCTCCATGCGTTCCGGCTTCTTTGCGGCGTATGAGGTGATGCTCAGAAGCGGTGAGCCCCTGAAGGTCAAGGTCATGGCCAAGGCTCTCCTCGCGGTCTTCCGCTCATCGGCCAAGGTGAGCAAAGTCGCCTCTTGCACCCTCACCATTACCGATGACAGAGTCATATTTGTCCTCTTGGCTCCTTCGGGCCTGACCAAGGTCTACCGCATCTCCTACGAGGTCTCCGAGAACATGCTCGCCGTCTACGAGACGACCACCGCGCCCAACTCGTTCGTTCTCGCCCCACGCCTCCTTGCCGCTGCCATCGGCACTTTTCCGGCCTCTCTGCAGGACGCCACGCTCGAACTGGCTCCAAACAAGGTCCAGCTTGCCTCACACATCGAAGCAAGCGATGCCGTCGGTCTGCCCTCGGGCTCGGCCCGGACCAGCACCCAGACCCATGTCACCCTCGACACCTCTCACTTTGAGCACTACATGCTTGCTCCTGACGGTGTGAGCATCACCTTTTGCCTCAAGGAGCTCAAGGCCATGCTTGCCTTTGCAGAGTTTACCGGCTCGCCGCTGCGGACCTACGTCCACGGCCCGGGCCTCCCGATCATCTTTTCCATCACCGTTGCCAACACCTTTGCTGCCGACTTTGTCATTGCCACCCTCATCAACGACGACGACAACGACCCGCCGGTTGTTCCGCGCCGGACCACCGCTGCACCACCGGCAGACGTCGCAGTTGTCTCGTCGAGCGCAGCGAGTTCGGGCTACGCCGCCTCGGGCACAGGCGCCGTGCAAATGGACATCGAGACCTCGGGCGCCGGCCCGACGCTGCCTCACAGCCCGGGCTCGGCTGGTGCCTCGGCGCCGCAGCTCTTCCAGGCCTCGCCGGCTTCGCTCGGCCTTGCGGGCCTCTCGGCGGTCTCGGGTCGCGAGTACGCAGCTTCGTCATCGCAGCACTCGCCGTCGCTCGGTTCGCACACACTCCGCCCCGGCCTGGGCGTCACGCCGTCGCGGCCGGCTTTGCCGCGGCCGTCGCTCGTCGCCTCGCAGCTGCATGAGCCGTCGCCGCTGCAGTCGTCACAGCTGAAGCGGCGTCGGCCGCAGGCCTACGCCTCGGCCTCGGACGACGACGCTGAGAGCGACGACGGATCGGTCGAGGCCACCCCGCCGCCGCCGGACCTTAAGCGCGCGCGCGGGCTGGGGCATTGACCGCACCCGGCCTGCCCATTCACACTTGCATCATACATGCCTGCTCTCCGGCACCCCGTACCGTTCGGCATAGAGCTTGGCCATGTTGGGGTTGCCGAGCTTCCGCGCAATCGGCATGGCCTGGAAGGCAGAGGTTGGAAACGCTGGCACGAGGTCGATGCCCGACCGCGGGAAGACCCACTCGAGGAGCCTGAAGAAGATAAAGTCGAGCGCCATGAGCATGCAGAAGAGCTTGCCGGCCCACAGGCCGCAACCGTAGTACCGCCGGAAGCGCTCGATGAGCGGGACCGGCTCGGCGCTCATCATCTTGTCGTAGACAACCTCGGTCCGCGCCGCCACGTCGTTCCAGTTGTACATGTTGCGGACTGCGCCGTGGAACTCGTACGGCTGCACATCGTGGACCTCAGCAATAGCCTCGTCGAGCCGCGCAATGAGGTCGCCCGGCTCGGGATCGGCCAGCTTGATCATGTGCTCCGGCAGAACCTCGGGCACGCCGCCGACCCGGGTTGAGACAACCAGCAGGCCGCACGAGACAGCCTCGACAATGGCAATGCAAAACGCTTCGGTGAGCGACGAGTTGAGAAAGATGTCGCCGCGGACGAGCACGTCGCGGACGTCCTCGTGCGCTACTTCGCCGAGAACCTCGACCCGGTCGTGGAGCTGGAACTCCTCCAGCATCTCCTCCAGCGCCAGCATCTTGTCGCCGTCGCCACCGATGATCCAAGAGACTTGCGGGTACGCCTCACAGATGCGCGGAATGATCTGGATGACTAGATCGACTCCCTTGCGGTAGACTAGCCGCGACATGACCACAATCGTGATCCGCGAGTGGTCCTTGGCTGCCGGGTTTGGCCGAAACACCGTCGTGTCCACTGCGTTGGGAATAACCGACACATCGCGCGGATCGAGCTGCGCCCGCAGCACCGTGTTCTCCTTGGAGGTGTACGAGACGCAGATGACGTGGTCAATGTCCGAGAGCGTGAACTTGAGCACTTTGTTCATGTGGATCGACGACGCGTCGTGAAAGCCAAACAGCGAGTGGTCGGTGAAACACACCTTGTAGCCCATTGTCCGCCCATGCAGGATCGCCTCGTGGCACATGCACGAGAAAGCGCCATGCCCATGCACAATCTGCACCTGCTCGCGGATAAAGACGTTGCGGAGGAGCGGGAACATCGAGAAGAGCGACGGAAAGGCAGACTGCTGGTAGACGGGCATGAACGGGAGATGGTACACCTTGAGCCCGTTGGTTAGCATCCGCACCCCGTGCCGCGAGTTGTAGGCGTGCGTCACAATAATGACCTTGTGCCCGCGCGCAAGCAAACATTGTGAAAGCTGGTACAGGTGCGACTCAACGCCGCCAAACCGGGGGTAGAAAAAGTCGCAGACCATGGCAATCGAGTACGTCTCGCGCACGTCTTTGCTCGCACCGACGCGGACCGGCGGCAGCGACCGCGCCGTCACAAACGGCGAGACGCCCGCGCCCGACGTCCCGCCGCTGCTCCCGCCCAGCCCTAGCGTGGCAAGGTCTACCCCGTCCAAACTCGGCGAAATGAGCGGCGGGACAAGAAGCTCGGGCCGCAAGCTCGGCTCGACTCCCACATACCTCGCGCGCCCCGCAGACGTCTCCACTTCATCGCCGTGGTCAAGCATCGAGAGCGGGACGCCGACCCGCGGCGGGAGGCCAACTGGCTCATCGTCATCGTCCTCCTCGTCGTCGTCGTCAAACTCGGAGAACACCGGCCGCGCATGCAGTGCAACAGACCGGGACGATGCTGTAGACGTCGATGCTGCTGACGACATCCGCGCGCTCGACCGCAGCGACGCAGCTCGGCTTGCTCCGCCGGGCTGGTCGCGCTCGTACTCGCGCTCGCGTTGGCGTCGTCTCCGCCGCCGCCGCTGCTGACTCGACCCAACCAATACCTCGCCGCCGTCACCCGAGCCCGAGCCTGAGCCCACGCCAGATGGCCCCAGAACCCGCATCTGCGTGCCAGCGCTCTGCCCGACGCCCGATCGCGAGCTCCGCGAGCTCTGCGTCCCACCGCTTTCAGAGCACGAGCTCGAGCCCGAGTCCGAGGCTGACGACAGGCCCGAGCCCGATCCCGAGTCTGAGTGAGACGACGAGTCAGACTCCCTGCCGTTGTTGCTTCCCAAGCGAGCATCGCCGTTGTACGCGTTGTACTCGCCATCATCGTCATCGTCCTCGTCGTCTAGCATCTCGTACGCAGTCTGCACACCAAACACAGGCTCCGACTCGTCGGAAATATCCGAGTCTGGCCCACGATCTTGCCCCACTGCAAGGGCTGCCGTTGTTGACGTGGCGGCCATGGGCGTTCCTGACGATGCCAGCAGCGACATGGTTGCTCTTGCTCCCGACTCAGGCGATGACGATTCCCGTGAGAGTCTTCCTTGTGGCAGCGAGCTATCTTCCCCCCACCACTCTCCAGACGAGCCATCTCCATCTCCGTCACCCCACAGTTCTTCATCGCCGCCATCTGCTCCGCCCTTGGAGGAGTTGTCCCCCACCACCACCAAGGCGCCCTTCTTGCCCGACTCGGCCATGACACAAACACCCGTTCACCAGTAGTTGACCAGTGTCTCCCTTCCCCTGTGGTACAGATGTAACCCTATGTGTGTGGGTGGTGACGCAACAGTGTGCTGTTGAGCGAGGTGTGTGGCTTTGGCCGTGGGTCCTGGCCTGAGTCACCGTGTGGTGGGCATGGGGGGGGGGGGGGGGGCGATCATGATCATGATCGCGATCGTGATCTTGATCCGAGTCGTGTTGCCAGTGCCAGCGCCCCGAGTCGAGTCGGACACGCGCACCGACCCCCTCTCGCACACACATCACTTCCTTGGCGACAGAGATGCAGAAGAGTAGCACGTGTGCAGTCATGGGTATTTTGGCGGTTGTTTTGACAGTGGCAGTGATGGCGGCGGCGGCGGCAGCGGCGGACGAGACCGACTACTACCAGCTGCTGGGCGTGTCAAGGTCGGCGACACCCAAGGCTGTGGATGCTGGGTATGAAGCTGCGCATGCACAGATCATGGCGGGAGAGGTCGGCACGAGGTCGCGCAAGGATGCACTGCTGGCCATCAATCAAGCTTACGCAGTGTTGGCCGATGCAGAGGCGCGTGCAGAGTATGATGCGGCGAGAGCCGACGCTCTGGCAGACGAGGCCGACGCGAGCCGGCGGGCGCAGGTGCTGAAGGAGGCCAAAGAGGTCGAGATGAAGCGGCAGGAGCGTCGCAGGGTGCCGGGCACAGAAAAGGTGCGGTACTCGCGGAACGAGCCGCCGGCCTTCAACATGGATCCCAACTGCATCCACTGCATGAGCAACGAGCACGGCGTCGAGGTCATCCACTCGGCCACCGGCGTCGACAAGTTCCTCGCGACCTTTGATACCTTCCTCTGCTCCTTCCTCTGCCCCATCCCTATCTCACCCGAGCTCAGTCTCACTCTCTTTATCATCGGCTCGGTCGTCTTCTTTGTCGGTACCCTCTTCCTCTGCGGCAAACTGTTCGGCTGCAAGGAGCCGCCCACAAGCGAGACTGACTCTGCCCACGGCGACGACCATGCTCACTCCGAGTAGCGACCCGGCTCTCCGACTGTTGCTGCTATGTGGGAAAGACCCGGACTGTGTTGGCGATCGGACCACGGCACATCGGACACGGCGCGCCCGACGCCACAATTACCGCCGCATCGTCTTCGCACAGGCAAAGATGATGGCACGGCTCGATGAGAACCACTGCATCGGCCTCCCAGCAGACGGTGCACATGCCGCGATCGGCGCCCTCATCGCTCGCCGGTGGCGCCCTGGCCAGCGGCGGCGCTCCCTTGGCCCCATGGCCATGACTGACTTGAGGAAACACCCCGCCTGCGCCCGCGCCTTCCAAACACACCCCGCTGCTCGGCCCTTGCCCGCCATCGCCGCCCTTCTTGCCCTTGCCCTTGCCCTTGTCCTCCTCCTTGCCGAACCACGAGTTGAACACGTACAGCCCGGCAGCACCCACCAGCGCGCCGAGAGCAAAGACCGCCGCAGCAGCACCACCACCACCACCACCACCATTGTCCCTCTCATCATCTTCTTTGCCCGTCCTCCGTCTTCCTCGTCGCGACATGGTGCCCTCTGCCCGCGTCAAGAGATGCAACACGCTCGTGCTCGTGTTCCTGGTCACTCCGAGGTCATCAAACCGAGTGTTCCTTTTCGTCACCTTTGCCTCGGTTCACGACCTTTTTTGGTTCATTCACACGGTACGGTACACTCATGGCACCCTTGCGCTCTCCACCGTCAACATCAACACGTACCAGTCTGACTGTTGTACAGACATCACTTGGGGTAATTATGATATGTCATCATATTGAAATAATCATGCTCTGGTGGCTGAGGAGACGTGCAGAAGTCGACAGCGCTCGCTGTCGGGAGTCGACGGCGGTTCACGACCTTTTCCGGCCGGCCGAGCATCGGCGGCTCGCGAGGTACGAGACGGGGTACCACTTGACGAAGCTTCACCAGACATGTCGTACTGGACGCTTGGGCTGTTCTGCGTGGGTGTAGGAGTGGCGCTTGTGGCGTTGTTCATCTGCTGTGGTTATATGCTGGCGGTGGATGTGACGCTGACCACGTCGCGGTTCCTGGCGTACCCGCCTGGGGCAGTCTGGAGGGGCCTTGCCGACCACGAGTCGAACCCTGTGACGGGGCAGGCATGCCGTTCACAGCGTCCGTTTGGCACGGGAGACATGCCTGGGTGGGTGGAGCAGATGGGCTCGTCGTCGGTGGTGGTCAAGACAGTGGAGAGCAACAAGCCGACCCTTTTGGTCCGCCACTTTGACGACCGCGGGACAACCATGACTTCTCGCATGGTGTACCAGATGGAGGCTGCCGAAGAGGAGGGCGTCCGTGGCACCCGCATCACCATGATCCAGGATGTCTCCGTCCCGCGCGGCACTTGGCACACTCCGCTCTTTCGCATCCTCGTCCGCATCTTTGGTACAAAGGGCATGACCGCTTTTCTCGCCCGCCTCAATCGCTACCTCGGTCGTACCTGAGCCGACGTGGTCTGGCTTGCCGGTGCGCTTTGTTTTACGCCACGGCCGCCCTACGTAGTAGCTTCTTGCAGTAAAGCGAGTCCGGAAAGCTACGTCACTGAGCATCCGATGGCGACGCGCATGGCTTATGTGGCGGTGCCGAGGACCTCGGCAACCTTGCTCTGCAGGGCGCGGATGTTGGCGTTGAGCTCGTCGTCATCGTCATCGTCGTCGTCATCGTCGTTGTCGTCGTCCACCACAGGCCGGCTCGCCTCGAGCAACTGCGCTTCCAGCTCCAAGTTGGCAGCGCGGAGATCGTCGTTCTGGGTGCGGAGATTGGCAAGCTGGGCCTCGAGCTCGGTAATCAGATTCTGCGAGTCTCCGCCCTTGGCAGCCGCCTTGACTGCCTTCTCCAACTGCCGGATCCGCTGCTGCTGGATAAAGATCTCCTGCTGGAGCACGGTAGCCCGCTTGTCCTTGGCCGCGATGGCGGCCTCGAGCTCGGCCACACGCTGCTGCTCGCGGGCGACGCTGGCGGCGTTGGCCGCGGTGGCACTTGTTGCAGCACGCTCGGCCTCCCACGCCGCCTTTTCATCGCGAAGCTGCGCAATGATCTCGGTCGACGCGTCGCGGTGGGCCACAAGGACGCCGACGCGCTCCTGGAGCGACACATTGGTTTCAAGCGCATCATCGAGCTCGGCCCGAAGAGCTTCAACGCCTTCCGCCTCAAACTGGGTGCGATACCTGGCGATGACATGGACCATGTGCGAGTTCTTGGTCTGCAGCGCACAGAGCTTGGCCTCGGCCTCGGCCAAGCGGGCCTCGAGCAATGCCCGCGGCTTTTCTGTCTCACACCCGATGAGCGTGCTGATACGGGAGACCTGAACAGCCAGACTCTCCCGATGCCGCCCCGCCTCCTGCATCACCCTTCCTGCCGTTGCCTGGGCCTTCAGCTGCGCTATCTCCTCCCGCAACGCGACAATGATGGCCTGATCCTCTGCCCGCAGCCGCACCGCCCTCGACGCCTGCTCATCAAACCGCTGCACCACCCGGCTTACTTGCTCCAGCTACACCCACCCCCGCCCCCATCCATCCACTCCACACAATCCGTGAGTCACATCCATGCCAATCGTATCCTGTCGCCCTCCGTCGCCCTCCTCCGTCCCCTCCCCTCCCCTCCCCCCCTCCCCCCCCACCCTTCCTCACACCACGGGCACCCCCTCAATCGCATCCCTACCTTGGTCTGGAGCATGTTCTTCTCCAAAAGCGCACGGTTGAGCGCTTGCTCCAACTCTGCCTGGGTGGTGGCCATGACCAGCAGCCGCCAGTTGGGTGTGTCTCTGTGGTGGTGGCAGTGTGCGGTCGGGCTGTGGTTAGTCTGTGTGGTTAGTCTGTGAACAGCTTGCTGTAGCCAGCGGTGGGCAGCCGCACGTGAGCCAAGATCAAGCCAGGGGGATAGACTGCCACGCAATGGATATGAGACCTACTCTTGCTGGGGTAGTAGCACCCTCTCTATCATCGTTGGTCGTTTGTACACTTGCGATCAACTCGGAGGGTGTGTCGGGCAAAGCCACGTTGAGGCCACGGGTGTGCGCGCGCATGATGGGGGGGGGGGGCGATCAGGAGAGAAAGGTGCGTGTTCATGTCGTCAACACATCAGATTAGCTGACAGAGACCAAGAACCGGAGATCAATGGTCTGGTCAGAGAGCTGGGTACGGGTGTAGGTCGCGGACGAGAGCGAGACGGCGTACAGGGTCTTGTTCGGGTCGGTGCACACAAGGTACATGTTGCCAGAGGCAATGTCGTAGGTGGCATCGGCGGAGCAGCCGTATCCGTAGTCAATCTCGGTGAGCTCGACGACCTTGGTGACCTTGAGAGGGTTTGAGAGTGAGAACTTGGCGACGTAGGCGTTGGTCGACTCGGTGGCCATGACGACGCCGTAGTATCCGTTGTTGCGCCAGTTGAAGACCAGCGAGGTGATGAACATGTCCTGATCAGGCGAGTAAATGCGTGACGGGTAGCCGCCACGGTACATGTTGGTGCCATCGGAGAGAATGAAAACGTTGTTCGCCGAGTCCCACGTCGAAGAGACGATGCCCTGCCCAGCAAAGACAGGCATGGATCCAGAGGCGCCGATGGTGCCATCCGAGAGATCGACGGTGCCAAAGGTCATGTTCTTGCCATCGATAGCCAGGTACGATCCCGGGCCGCCACCGCTAGCCGGCTCCGAGACAAGAACCACGTTGTCGGGCGGGGTAAAGCGGGTCGTGGTCGATCCAGTGCAGGTGCCCGATGAGGTGATCTCCACCAGCGCGAGCTCATGGTTGAAGCTCACATACGCCAGTTCGGTCGAGTACGCGCCAGGAACAAGGCCAGCAAAGGGGAGACCAGGAATGTCGCACGCCGAGTCGATATCACCCGTGTCAGGCTCGATGACCACCAGCGACGACGACGTCGTCGACGAGCTGTTGGACACTCCGGCAAACAGAATGCCACCGTGGGCAGGACACGCGAGGAGCAGCGAACAGACAAGGGCCACGACAACAACTGGAGTATGATACATGATGGGGTGAGAGTGGTGTGTGGAGAGCAAGGTGGAGGTGGAGAGAGACAAAGGAGTGAGAGCTCTGCTGCTGGCATCTGTTTTTTCCCACTGGAGCAATCGAAGATTCCTCGACCGACATGCTGGGCGTGGTGTTTGTCCTGCTGGCGTGCGCATGCAAAGGGCTCTGCTGCTTTGGCTCCACCAAAGTGCGGCATGGCATGGTGTATCATCTGCTATTCATCGTCGTCGACAAGGATGACCAGGACGTCACCGGCGGCAACGAGCTGGCCGGGGTTGACAAGCACGGCATCAACGATGGCGGCTTCGGCAGTGGCAAGCACCTTGGTCTGCATCTTCATCGACTCGATGACGACGAGGGTGTCTCCGGCAAATACGGTGTCGCCTGGTGCCACGCCGACAGAGACGATCTTGCATGGCATGGGCGCCCGCGGGGTGAGATCGCGCCCACTGCTGCTGCCAGACCCCGTGCTGGCGTAGCCCTTGGAGCTGGCAAACCGGGAAACGAGCTCGACTCCCATTCCCGAGGACTGCGGCGAGAGGCTCGGCGAGTGGACGAAGACTCGCATGCCCTCTGCGTCGGGTGCATCAGCCGCAATGCCCGCGTGGCAGGTGTACCACGCGCTTGCACCGTCAATGGCCAGACGCATGCGGTAATCGCCGTCGAGCTCGCCGAGCAGTACGTCAAAGACCAGCTCGCCGTCGGCGCCGACCAGGGCCCCCGGGAGCGAGAGCTCAAACGCCTGCGGCGCCAGCGTTGCCGGTGCGGACGCGCCCGTCTCGTGGACCGCGCGGTATGTCGCTGCAATCGGAGCGCCACCGCCGGGCAGAGCAATCAGCTGCTTCTGGGTGCGGGTACGGGCAGTATTACACCAGCCGGAGGGGATATGGCGGAGAAGGTGCGGCCGCGGGGCCGACGGCGATGCCCGTGCCCGCGCCCGCACCACCCATCCGTACACCAATGCGGCAATGGCAAGGCGCGGGGTGTCGGTCGCGCGCGCTGCCGCGTCTGCGGCCACCAGCGCTGCTGCCGGCGTGTGGGTCGGGATGAACGACGTGAGCGTTTCGCCAGCGGCAAAGGCCGCGTGGCCGACAATAGCGTCGAGAAACGCGATGTTGGTTGTCACCCCGAGCACCGCGGTGTGGGCGAGCGCGGTCCGCATGGCGCGAATGGCTTCCATCCGGTTGCGACCACTCACCGTCAGCTTGGCCACCATGGGGTCGTAGAAGACCGAGATGGCGTGACCGGTGGCAATGCCGGCGTCGACGCGGACGCCCGGCGGCGAGGTTGGCGGCACAAAGAGGTCGACGCGGCCGGTGCACGGGAGAAAGTTGTTGAGCGGGTCCTCGGCGTAGACCCGGACCTCGATGGCTGCTCCCAGCGGTGGCGGCTCGCACCTGTCCGCGCTCTCCTGGTCGACAGCCCACGGACAGTGCGCAAGAAGCGAGGGCAGCGCCTCGCCTTGGGCGACGGCAATCTGAAGCGCAACCAAATCTAGGCCAGTTACGGCTTCGGTAACCGCGTGCTCGACTTGGAGCCGGGTGTTCATCTCCAGAAAGTAGAACGGAGGCAGCACGTCCGACTCGGAATCCTCAAATCCGAGGTGCGGCGGAGAAGCGTCGACGATAAACTCCACGGTGCCTGCACCGACGTAGGCGACGGCGCGGGCAATGGCAATGGCAGCGGCACCCATGACGGCACGCAGCCGCGGGCCGAGCGCCGGCGACGGGGCCTCCTCGACCACTTTTTGGTGCCGTCGCTGGACCGAACACTCGCGCTCAAACATATGGACCACGTTGCCGTGGGCATCGCCAAAGACCTGGAACTCGACGTGGCGCACAGAGTCAAAGTACCGTTCCAGCAGCAGAGAGTCATCGCCAAACGAGGCCGCGGCCTCAGCCTTGGCCGACGCGATGGCGCCTTCCAGCTCGGCCAGATCGCGGACAACTCGCATGCCCTTGCCGCCGCCGCCCGCCGAGGCCTTGACCAGAAGAGGCGTACCAATGTCTGCAGCGGCAGCCACAAGGGCTGGGACTGACTGATCAGCACCTGCGTAGCCCGGGATGACTGGCACGCCGTCGGCGGTGGCGGTGAGCAGATTCTTGGCGCCGATTTTGGAGCCCATGGCGTCCATCGCTTCAGGCGATGGGCCGATAAAGACCAGGCCAGCCTCGCCCACCGCCCGTGCAAACTCGGCTCGTTCTGAGAGGAAGCCATAGCCCGGATGCACGGCATCACACCTTGTTGCCCGAGCAGCGTCGATGAGAGCATCGACCACCAGATACGAGTCGATCGCCGGCGGCGGGCCGATGAACACTGCCTCGTCTGCTGCTGCCACATGCAGAGCATCGGCATCTGCCTCTGAATACACCGCAACAGTGGCAATACCCAGCTACAAACAATCATGGTCTCAGTGACAGTGAGTGGGATGCACGAGCAGGGAAGCAGGTCCGGGGTGGGGTGGGGGGGTGGGTGGTTAGGGGTGGGGGGGAGGCTTCTGCATACCTTGCGACAGGTACCGATGATACGGAGGGCGACTTCCCCTCGGTTGGCCACCAGGACCTTTGAGATGATCATTGTAAAAGTATATGTATGTGTGTGTGGTGGTGGTGGTGGTAGGGGGGGGGGGTGTAGTGGTGTTGGTTGGGCTGGGGTGAGTTGATTGGTCTCGATCGGGCACGCGTGCGGAGTGGAGTCGGTGGTGTCACGGTAGATGTGAGGGGAAAGGGGGGGGGAGGGGGAGGGGGCAGGGGGAGGGGGTGCTTGGGGAATGAGGGATGAGGGATGAGGGATGGTTAGACTTGAAGATACTCGGCATCAGCATCGGGAGGAAGGTGCTTGACGCGATGGCGTGGGTAGTCGCGTGGGACGCACTTGCCGTGGCGGTTGTAGCCGGTGGGGCGGGCGTGGGTGAGGAGGCGGCCGAGGATAGGGACCTTGAAGATGAGAAAGTGGACGGAGAGGAGGCCGTAGAGGGTTTTGGTCCAGTAGATGGTCGACTTGAGGCGCCAGTTGGAAGAGAGACCCTCTGCGGCGATCGAGGTGCGGCGGTCGTGGTCGTCGAGGGCGGCCCAGACGATGACGGAGAAGCAGACGAGAAAGACGAAGGCATCGAGGATGACAAAGGCGCGCAAGCGTCCGCCGCGGCCAGCGTACCTTGGCTTGCCGCAGCACGAGCCGACGATGCGGCCTGGGCTGTGCGGATCGACGGCCGAGGCGTCGCCGGAGCGTGAGCCGTCATCGGACGACGGCGTGCCGTGGCGGGCGTGGAAGGCATAGACTTCGTCGGGCGAGAGGATGCCGTTGCCGTCGACGTCGTACTGGGCATGGGCCGAGGAGAGGACCTCCAGCGAGGTCCCGCCCTTCTTCTCGGACCGCGGGAGGAGGGCGGCGGCGAGCCAGACCATGACGACTTGCAAGAGAAAGAAGCCGGCCTCCCACAGCGGGAGGGTGGGCCCGGTCTTGGCGCACTCGTTGACGGCTGGAGAGTCTGGGCCGGTGGTGCAGAGGTAGTAGAGGACGGCACCGTAGCAGGCCGGGAACAGGCCACCGGTGATAAACTGGACGCCCTTGAAGGAGAGGATAAAGTCGACGAGCTGGAACTCGTCCGAGTGGTCGATGGCGAGGAGGACGGCAAGATAGAAGGCCTGCGGGACGCCAAAGAGTGGAAATACAGAGGCGAGGGTGAGGAGGAGGAAGAGCGGGTTGCGGAGACGGCGCCAGAGCGATCGATCATAGGGTCGGAGTGTGTAGAGAAACCCAGCACGGAGCCAAGCGAGCGGACCCGGCCAACCACAGCACGGCGGAGGACGACCATGATCAACAGGCACCTTTGCCACGGCCATCTTGTCCAGGACAGCGCCCATGACCTCGATCTTGACGTCTGGCCAGATGTCATCAATGGTGGCATCGACAGCTCTCTGCACAACAGCAGGCATGTACGGATCCTTGGCCCGGGCCTTGACGGCTTCCCCCGCAGCATCCAGAGCTCTAGAGACACGTGCCTCCAGCAGGAGTGCCACACGAGTCTTGATCCGAGCCAGAGCGTTGGCAC